TCTGTGTCATTCATCTCTCGCTGACAGCGTTTGGGATACACTGTGGCCACTGTGCTTGCTGTGTGTCCTTGAACAAGACATGTTGACCTTGACTCAGGACGCCGGGCTGTAAAAGCGACCAGCAATGGTGTTGGAAAATGTTTGTAGTGAACGAGTCTGCGCTTCTGTGCTTTGCATTTTGAATGAGTGTACGTCATTCTTAAACAAATTTCCCAACGCGGTCGAAAGGATTCTTGGTCTTTCACCCGCCCCCTCCCCCGTGCTTTTTTCTGGTTCCTTTTTTTCTGTTGCCGAAGAAGGGGGGCTCTGGAAATCTTTGAACTCATTTGAATTTTGGCGCTTTGGTGTGTGGTGTGTGTATTTCAGCTTTTGACCATGAATTTCCTTTCCAGATGTTCATCCTTGCTCTACAGATGTTTTGGACGGCGCAATTGCGAGGTCCAGTGTCTGTCCACTGCTTGAATAATCAATAAATTGTAACGGGTGATGAATGTATTTTGCACTCTCCATTTCTCTCTCTCTCTCTTTTCTCTCTTTGTGTCTCTCTCTTTAAAACACACACACAAACACACACACACACACACACACACACACACACACACACACACCCCCCCCCCCACACACACACACTGTCTGTGTTGCTGGAATAAGTCCACATGTACTCATTTTTTAATCTTTGTGGTGAGGAGTTACAAAGGCAGAGAAAACTGTTGTTAGCCTTCGTCCTCAAACTCAAAATGTAGTGAAAAAAATAGAGTCCTGGTGGAATGGTTGCTGCTGCTACAAAATGTATCTGTTTTCTATTGTGCATCGGTGTAGCCCTCTACCATTGGTTGATAATTGACAAAAGCAATTGTGTGAGATCAAATTTCCCAAATTTTCTAAGCCTGAAAAATTATTCAAGATCCATCTGAAGAAAGAAAAGAAATTACCCTTCATCTTAACTCTACGTCCGTCTGTCTTCTGAGAGGTGTGTTTTGTTTTGCACATGCCCACGTATGAACGCGAGTACGTCTTTGGGGTCAGTGAGGTCATCAATGTCAGATGGTGATATTTGGCTTTCAATAAAACGTTCCTTGTTGTATCTCCTGGTGGGGTAAAGCAAGCTAGTCTTTAATGAAAGAAAGACAATAACAGGGATGTTGTTTTCCAGGGTCTCCCCCCCCCCCCTGTTCTAATCACATGAAGTACAGTTATTATTTGAAGCATTTGTTTACTGTGTAACCCCGTAGAAGTTGTGTCGATTACCTTTAACTAAACCGTTTTTTTGTCTTGAAAATGCAACTTCATAAATTGTCAGGTTTTTTTCCCCAAATCTAAAGGTCGTTCCCGGTAGAGAAAATATAATAATAAATAAATAAATGATAGTGATAGAAATAACATTGCTGAGCACAGTGCTTGATGTGTTCCCAGAAGCTGTAACACCCCCCCCCCCCCCCCCCCTCACCTGACTGTATTCTAAAGCTAGATCATTGGCGTAGGTTTTTTTTAAATTGCTGGACGGAAACTAGATCAAACTGAACATGTTGATTGGTTGGGATGTTACTGTAGGAAAATATTTTTAAAACTACAGGGGAGTGCCGTAAGTTGAAGATAAAGTAAGAACTGCCTGAAGAAGGGTATGTTTAATACATTTTTTTAAAGGTATCTTCAACAAAATAAGCAGGTGTAGATCTAGTGGGTATTTTTAAAGGGTTTTTTTTTTGGGGGGGGGGTGTCTGTCTGCTGCTTCTATCCTTGCTTTATATTTCTGTTTCTGAAAAGACAAGACTGGGAAGACAATGGAAGTTTCTTTTTTTTGGGCCCGGAAAGTGATGATTTTTTTCAACCCTCTGAAGACTGTTGTGGCATATATATAAGTTGTTTTTAGAGTAAAATGCTGATATTAATTTTCTCACAACTGCACTACTAAGATTGGGTGATTTGATCATGTCCATCAGGCGTT